TTTTCCTACGGATGTACTGTGGGACCTCGGCAGGTCACGGGGCCTCTCTCGGTCCGCCCCTGCCACGGCCTGCGGCTGTCGTGGTAGAGGAGGGGACCTGACCCACAGGGTCCACGAGGGAACCGGGCCCTTGCCTGGGCCCCAGCATTCCTCCTGGCGGAGTGGGAGCCTGCTGCTCGTGGCTACTGAAGGAGCCCGAAGACCACGAAGCCCGTGCAGATGTGCAAACATTCGCGTTGCTGTGGGCAGCGCCACCCGCCCTAGGGTACAGCTCCCCGCGGGCAGGGCGCTGGCTTCCTTTGTTCCTGTGTCTAGAGCAGGGCCAGCCGTGGTGGGTGCTCAACAACTAGCTGTGAGAGGAGTTAGTCACCCCGGTACCAGATGAGCAACTGAGGCAGGGAGGCTGGAGGGATTGGCTGATGGCTCCCCGGCTGGTGAGTGGAAGATTGGTGCCCATCCCACCTGGGCTCCACCCGCCAGGGCCTTTGGGTGGCCAGGCTGGGGGGAGGCACTGCTCTCACCTCGGTGTCCGTGTCCTGAGCGAAGTCCTTCCGGCAGACGTGGGCCATGATCCCCGCGGCCAGCGCATCCCCCAGCACATTAATCATGGTGCGGAAGCGGTCCCTGGTGGTGGCGAGCGGTGGGCACTCGTAAGGGGAGCCGGGAGGGGGCAGCGCCCAGCCCAGCAGCCCCTGAGGGCACCAGCCGCCAGGGCAGAGCCCACAGTGAGGCGCTTTCCTAGTCCTCTCAAGCCCACCCCTCCCTCAGGGATGCTGAGGAGGGTTGATGCAGGGCGGGCTTCATGGCGGGTGACCGGACGCCGCACAGGGCCTGTGCTAAGAAGGGCCCAGGCTTGGTTTCACGGTTTGCTCTCACCCTCTTGAAATCCCTTATAATTTGTAAACAAGGGTCCCCACATTTTTGTTTTTGAAAACTGGGCTCTACATTATGCAGCCAGGCCAGAGCCATTGCCTCTGTAGGTTTCCCCTGCCTACCCCAAAAGCCTGCTGCCTGCTGCCTGCGGGGTGGGGGCGGGAGGGGTGCACCCCACTCACAGAGCCCAGTCGACAGCAATGATGAGGGTGATGTCGTCTGTGGGCAGGCCCACGGAGGTGAGCACGATGACCATGGTGACGAGCCCGGCCTGGGGGATGCCAGCTGCCCCGATGCTGGCTGCGGTGGCTGTGATGCTGCAGAGGGTGGGGAGAGAAGGAGGAGAGAGAAGCAGGAGGAGCAGGCGGCCTCGTTGGGACCCTCGCTTCAAAGGGGAGGCCAGAATGCCAGCGCCTCTGTGGCCAGCCAAACGGGGCAGGGTTGTTAGAAAGGCCACATCAAGGAGTTCTTGGGGGGACACGTTCCTGCTTGAGGTCCTATAACCCCATGGGCCCCACACCTGGCCTCAGCAGGACCCCCTGAGGAATCTGTGGGAAACCCTGTGCCTGGAGCCGTTGCCAGGAAGGTTTTCAGGGAGCCGCTGAGAAATTCTGATCTGCCCAGCCTCCCTCGGGGGCCTGGTGCCCAGGGTCAGCCTTGTGCCCTCAGGCTGGCGTGCGAGGCCTTCCCTCAGCCTCTGCCCCTCACCTCAGCACCCTTCCCTCTGCTCCAGCCACACCAGCAGCCCCTCCAGCGTCCCGCCCCGGGCCTCTGCCCCCTCTCTGCCCTGCGTGTCCAGAATGCAGGCCCTCCTCTGGGTCTCAGCTCCCGCCCCGCAGGGCAGCGTTGGGGAGGGTTGGGGGGGAGCCTGTGCCACCAGTCTCAGGGATCAGGTCACGTCCCACCC